GGGAGAGCCGAGGGAGAGGAGAGAGAGAGGGAGAGAGGGAGAGCACACACACACACTCACTCACTCGCCACGACTGAGGGTCGGATGCAGACACAGTGGCCAAGGCACAAAGTCGAAGTCTTGGATTCCCGAATGCCGAAACAACCAGTCACCTTGAGTACGAGTACAGCAGCTGGAAACTGGTACGAGATTGCTCTCCGTACCGTACGGGGAGCCGGTATAAGTATCGGTGACACGTACGGTACTAGAGGCATTTCTGCAAAGGCCCCGGGGGCAGAACTGAAAAATGTGGTATTTGAAAGTGGGGCCTGAATTGCATCATGGCGCCAGTTGTCCAAAATCCTACGGTGCCAAAGGAGGGGTTGGGAAAAAGGGTGCCAGGCCGAAAACGGGATGCAGTCGAAACAGCAAAAGGATAGACCAGGGATCGAGCCCTGGCGGAGTCCGTAACAGGTAGGGTGTAAAGACTGTAGAGGCGTGTACAAAAGTGTTATACACAAGCTGTGCACGACCCAAATGAAGATCCCAGTCCTGTTGATCTGGACTGATCATTGGACGCAACAGTTGAAATAGAATCTAGTTCATCACTTCAGCCTGACCATTGGCTTCATGATGACGACCATATGTCATGTCCAGATGAGAATGAAGGTAATCCCTGCAGTAGGATTGCCATTCATTGTTGCAAAACTTGGGATCTCGGGCACTGACTATAGAGGTGGGTGGTCCATGATGTGTAACCCACCTGTCAGCAAAGGTCGCCTGAACAGCTGGAACGCAAGCCTCAACTGGTAAGGGGATGAACTCTGCGTATTTGGAGAACAGATCCACGCATACCATAACCTGATGCATACCACGAGGTGTGGTCCTACCCAAGTCAGTAAAATCAATAGACACTGACTGTGCAGGTGCTTCAGGGATGGGTAGTGGTTTGAGTAGGCCACGGGGAGGTCGTCGTACTGCCTTGTTTCTTTGGCATAACTCACAGGTTTCCACATAGTGCAGCATGTCACTCCTCATCTCCTTTTAGAAGAAGCGTTGTGACAGGGCTGCATACGATTTGAGGGCACCAAAGTGACCACGAGCATCATGACACTCGAACATCAGAAGTGTTTTCAGCTTGCGGTCCTGGGGAATGCATAGGCGTTTCTCACCTCTGCTGCATGTGTACAGCAGATCTGAAACCAAAGTATATCCTGGTTCAAAGGCAGGATCATCCTGAAGATTCCTCACTATAGGCCCAAAAATCGTATCCTGGGGCAGCAGTCGGGCAATGGTCTGACGAGTCCTCTCTCCAAATGAGTGAGTAAAGGAGATCAGAAAAAAAGCGCTAGACCTACGAGAAAGGGTGTCTGCTACTCTATTGTAGCAGCCCTTCTTGTGTTTCAGTTCAAAGTCGAACATGTCGATGAACTGAATGTAGCGAGCAAGCTTGTCATTCAACTCTCCTTGGGACTTCATCCACTGTAGGGTGGAGTGATCTGAAAAAACCTTGAAGTGCCTACCCAGGAGGAAGTGTTTCCAATGCTTGAACGCCGACACAAGAGCATACAACTCTTTCTCATAGGTGGAATCCTGCAACTTCTTGGTCTTGGTCTTTTTGCTCATGTACTCGATTGGCTGCAGACCATTCCCATCATCCTGCTGAAGTACCGCGCCTACACCATATTGACTAGTGTCAGTGGTAAGCACAAAAGGCAAAGCAGAGTCAGGCAACTTCAAAACAGGGGCACGAATCAAGGCCTCCTTGAGACGTGTGAACCTCTGTGGAAGAGTCGCCAATGCGAACCTCTATAGGTTGTCACAATTTTACAAGTCTCTGATCCAAGTGCAACCTACTGACTGCCTTGGGAGATATGAAGTTGCGAGTAGCCCCACAGTCAAAGAGCCTTTTGATATTGACTCCCAGGATAGAGGGCCGAAGCAGGATGAGTTTTGACCTGTGCTTTTTCTTTTCCTGCAAGGACAGGAAAAGATCAGCCAAAAACTGAGCATCCTCCTCCTCCCACATCTCATCCATCTCAGAGTCTTCAAAAATGAAAGACCCTGAAGATGCAACTCCAAAGACAGAAGAACCAGCGAGAGAATGTGAAGATTCACCTTCATCAGAAAGTGAATCAGCACTGGTGGAAGGAGTTGTTGCTTCCACCTCTCTCTGCGCTAGTTTTTTGAACTAGAGCTGCATGTAGACCTGTGAGGCATGCTGGGACAGTCCTTTAAAAAGTGGTCCTTCTCGCATCTCAGGCAGACACCCTTGTCCTTTCTCTTCCTCAAAACCCCCTCCTGGATCCTGAGTGCATGCCAGGGGAAGGTGGAAGGATCAAGGGGGTCAGTTGGCCATCGGACGTCACGTGGTAAAAGAACTCTCTGGGCACCAGGGGAAGAGGCACGTCCCTTATCTTCCCCCTTGCTGCTGGTTGGTGCTTTATGAGTTGGGGCCATGCCCTTAGTTAAACCCATCAAAGCATCAGCGAGGGCAAGAACAACAGAATCCGCAGTAGATGATGAGGCAGTCCCAGGTGGAGGAGTCCCAGCCTGGGATGTTGTATCATTATCTGAACATGAAGCTGCAGCAGCAAATTGGGAACCCTTCCTCCTTCTTCGCCCCTTTGAGGAGGGTCCCTTCCTTCCTTCAAAAGGTGCTTCCTGGACATGGAGTTTGGACTCCAAGTCTAGGGCTGCTCTGCCAAAGGACCGCCAGTCCTTGTGGCCCTGAGAGACAAGGCTAGCTTGAATTGCACAAGCGCTGCCCTGAGGAAATGAATGAGCAGATCCTGCTCACTCATCTCCAACCCAGGAGTCGTTGTGAGACTCTCAAAGGTGGAGTACAGTTTGGACAAGGACCCATCAAACTTTTTCTGGCCCAGACGCAAAATCTTGTCTGCTCCAGGGTTGCACCCCTGCCGATCGCCGACCGTATTGCAGCCGACTAGTAGGGGCGACCGGTCGGCGGTCTGCTGACCAGTGAGAAAACAACCATCCACTGATTTTTTTTCAAATCTAAGTTGGGGGTTGTACCCGCTTGCCGAGTAGAGACCAAATCCGCTTAGAAACTTTTTGGGATGGGGGAGGGGTATGGGGGGGTTGGGGTTGGAGCATACCTGCGGCGCAAGTGTGCTGGTCACCGATGCACAAAAAAAAAAAAGAAAAAAAAAAAAAAACGGTTGTTATGTGTGAGGAGACGCAAAAGAGAGAGAGAGAGAGAGAGAGGAAAAAATGTAAACAAATAGCTCCTTACTATTTATTTCAAACCCCCTGCGGGTTATCCGAGAGGCCCTTGCACACAATCAGCAAGGGCCACGTTGCCATGGACGAGGTAGTAGTCATAGCCATGCTGAAGTCATGGCATGCCAAGTATATATGTTGTTGATTCACTTTAAGGTCCGTGTTTCAGCAGTTATGGGACCACTGAGCACGCGAGTTTCTGGGCAGTAGCAAGCCAACTCACCACGTGCTTTTCCCTCCACTACAAATGTGCAAAACTAGAATGAATCTTCTGCTAGAACATGGAACCGTACGCCACCATATGTTTTGTCTTTTGTGCAAGTGGTAACGAGTGAAGCAAGCCCTTAGGGCCACTTGTCGTAGGAAAAAGAAACAAAAGAAAGAGAGGAATGAATCTTCTGCTAGAACATGGAA